GGGTTGATTAAGAGCTAGTAATTTCTAAAACACATTTGAAAGCTTACATACCAAAATGTGTTTCTTAACAAGCTTACTTCACTCTTATCCAAAATTTTCTTAAGAACGTCTTCAGGAAAATATTTATTTTAGGTCCGGATAACCAATATCTGAGCCACTGTCTAATCATAATTTCAAATCTATCCAGGCTAAAGGACTCTTCTCCTTTCCCTAGCTAACTGTCTTCACTGACTACAACCAAATGATATGCTTCTGTATATTCATGAGGGTAACTTTGGAGATAAGTATTAACTCACTCAAAAGGTAAGGATACCACAAAAACTTTCTTGGCATCTTTTAGTCCACAGATTTAGATAAAAGGCAAAATAATTGCAGTGGGGTTCTACCTACTTGAATACTGAGTATCGAAAGGAAAAAGAGAGAACCTTTGGCTTTTTGAGCTGTTCTCCCAGGAAGGGAAAAAGACAAGACTGAACAGGTCAACCAGATACAACATTCATAGCACTCCAAAGAGTTATCTAAAGGGAAAGAAGAAATAAAAGGGAGATACATTTTGGTATCTTCTATTTATTTTGCAAAAATGTTAAGATGGTACTGGATGAAGTGGAAATCACAACTGCTGGATCTATGTAATCTGGTACAAAGGTCTTAAAGTGCTGGAGAAATGAGTACCAGTTAGATGAATCTGTGCTACCTCTAACATGGGCAGAAAGAGAACTCATCCCTCATTTTTCAGGTTGAAAATAAGGTCAGGATCCAAATAGAGTTACTTACCTGTAATTCTTTTTCACTGAAGGTAAATATTATATTAGAGCCACACTTCTGGAACTATCCTACTGCATAGAAACTATATTCAAAATATTCCAGAACTGAATTTCTTAAGTGACCAAGTGCTTGACCAGCAGATGGCATGCTCCTACACAGACTTGAGGAGCACATTCAAGGCTGTGTTTTTAAATCAAATAATTAAATTAAATAATTAGATTAAAAAGAAAAGTATGTTTTTCCCTCTAGCCAAGGAGGAAGGATGAACGTGTGGATCTATTACAACTATTACCTTCAGAGAAGAATTACAGGTAAATGTTTTTTTCTCTTCTTAACGACAAGTACAGTGGAATTATAATAGATCCACACTCTTGCGACTGAAAACTCCCGGAATGCATCTGTAAGAAATCAGTAAATAAAAAATGGAATATAAAAAAGTATTTAATAATTAGTACTAGATATATCAGTCTAAAGCCACAAACATGAACAATATTGTATATGAAGAAATAAATGCCTACCAAATAAAAAAGAAATTCTGCAAATCTTAGGGAATGAACAATTCTGGATCTAGTAATGAATTTTATACTCCTAAAACATCACATTTGGTTGGGACCCTGAAAAACTCCAAATATCAGTATTTGGTAAGCACTTAAATATTTTAAGAATTTTTGAAGCAGCTTTACAAGCATTTGTTGTAATTGCACTGAGGCTGTCTGTTTTTACAGAAACATGCTTTCACTAAGCTATTAAATGTCTTTCAGCTATCAGATCTAAGGTACATAGTGATGGTCTCAGTTCCACTCCAGACTTAGACAAACAAAAGAAGATAATAATAATAAAAAAAAAAAAGGGCAAGAAAATATTTCTATTCATCTTCTATAATAGAAACTTAACAGGCAAGGAATGAGACGCTTAACTAGTGAGTTACCAGGTACATATTCCAGAATTACTAGAGGTTGATTAGCACTCCCTTCTATTATTAGTAGCTACTGCTTTATGAAGGTTAACTAGCATAAAAACTCAAGTTATAGACACTAGAAGTATGGGTTTACCCCTCAATTTTTTTTTTTTTTAAAGAATAGTCTGATAAAAAACACATCAGAAAATATTTTTACCTCTCTAGTCTTAACAGAATAAAGACATTACTATTCATATTTTAACAACATACAGCTATCGACTGTTAGACTGAACCTACTAAGATGACCTTCCTTGGATTTACATACCCATGCCCATCCAGTCTGATGTTTCCAACAAAGTCATAGAGATGTCTGTTTGGGCTCTCACATTCAATTCTGCCTGAAAGCGTCATCAAGCTTTCTATGTCCTTTATGTCTGATGTTAGTGGCAAACCCTGTGAACAAGATTAGTTTGTCATGTCATTAAAATCACTTTCCAATATATAAATCTATGCATTATAAATGTGAGAGTGCAAGACCAGAAAACCAGCATCCCTGTGGAAACAAAATGGGACTGCTGTCACACTGCTGGATGCTACAGACAATGAAAAAGTCACCTTGGACTGTAAAACATCATGATGAAGACAGGGTCATAACCAGTCACATAGCTCAGCAAGAACGTCCCTGAATAGACAGCACACTCAGTCAAAAACTGCTACTGGCTGACAATATTGGCACTATCAGCTTCCTTCTGCAGGGATTCCCCCTCATCTACCCTCTAAAACAAAAACCAACACCCAAATTACAAATCTTTCCACCTATTTTCCCAAAGAAAAACATTAAAACAAAGTGCAAGGCATGGCTTAGGAGTAACCACTCATTCCTTAAACTTAAATTAATTGAACAAAAGCTTTTATGATGCCAATAACCCGCGGCTTTTTATTCAAACCATTAAAACTTCACAGTCTTCTAAACCGGCCATTCATGTCCTACGTTTTTATAAGCAGTAATAGACTAAAATAGTATTAGCAATATTCTCAAAAATGAAATTCCTACCTGTCGAATTTTTAAGTTTGTCTCACCATCTAAGTTAGATGTTTCGATGTAGCACATAGCTTGTGGTTCACTATTAAGAAAAAAATTCCTTAATTTTAAATTACAGTGTCAAAGTACATGAACTTTCTGTAATCTTTTAATTGTTATTTACACCGTCTTTTTTTCTTATCAAATTTTTCAGAATTTTCAGAATTTACAGCCAAAGCTGTAAAACCAACAGGAATTTACATTTTCAGAAGAGTTTGCCAAGACCTACCTACCTTATATGAAACACTGCTAAAAATGCTGTACATTATAAGTTTTCTATGTTTCTACATGAGATTAAGATATGGACAGAAATGTAGTGCATGCATAGTGCCTACTACTGTAGGCAGCAGTAGTTTAGACATTACATTTTCTTGTAAAGGGTTCTCTTTTAAAAGAAGTCTAAACTGTGGATAACAGGTACATTTCAAAAACTCTGTCCTCTTCACAATTTAAAAAGTTTTTTATAAATTGAGTTTTAAGTTTATGGAGAATATTACTACTACTTGCATAGTTCATCTACTTCACATATACTGACAGAAGGCTTATTGCATTTAATTTTTTCAATACAATTTTTTGATGTGTAGCACTAGTATTTTGTAAAACACTTTCAGGCTTTAAAAAAAAAAATTACAACCATTAGAGAATTGTTAACTAGGAAAACAGAGATACAGAAGGACAAAATTATTTTTCTCCAAGTAGAGAGTAAACACGAACAGGTCTAACAGATCAGGATTTCTGAATTACTCCACTCAGCTCCCATTTTCTGGACACAAGGGCAGAACATCTACTACTTATATCTAGGACAGAAAGAAGTTTTAATCCCATAAAGGAACAGGGGAATCATTAAAATCCCTTGCTCTGTAAAAGAATAAACGCTTATTCTGTGCACCATTTAAAAAGCGTCTAATGTTTTCCATCTTTCTAGCATGAAATTCAAGCATCAAGTTGTTTTAAAAAATTACTTTCTTAATGCAACAGTGGCTACTGATAAGTGACCTAGCTCTAAAATGCTTGCAGGAAAAAGTTCTGTATATTATTCTAGCATTTTTGTAAAGCCAACTTACTAAAATGTGATAATTATTTATCATAAATTCCTATCAGGCTAGCATTTTCTTCATGGCAAACTTTTCTAGAAATGTAAATAACTTCTGTTTGGATCATTTAGATGGAATCACCTGTATAAAACATTATTACAATTCTAGCATTAACAGTAAAAAGCAAACAGTATTTCTGTGAAGCACTTTTAAACCAGACTAAGGCAGCAAAGACATTTCAAGTGAAGACACATGCTTAATTGTAACTACTGTAGCAGATAGCAGTGACCTCCAAAGTAAGTCACAGTTAGATCAAGGCAGGCCCATTGATTTGTTAAGGAAAACCGAAGTGCAGTAACAGTGCAGACAATCGCATGAAGCTGACGTGTCTAAGAAACATGCATTTTGTCACGATACACAATAACAGCGCTGCTTTTGCCACTGCATGCAGCAGAGACTGTGCAACATCCAAGTTTGTGCAGAGGGTCCTCTACCAGTCCTTCCAACATTAAACTGTATCCTTTGATGAAAACAGTGGGTTGGTATAAACACGTATATTCTTCTTAATTTGCTCTAGGGAGTTAAACATATATTTATCCTGGTGTTTTACTGTGCGTTTATTCAATGACAACTTGTCTGATGAAATTTCATGGGGATATTGTAAAAACGAAGAGGACTGAAACAAATTTTAATTTCTTGGAGTGCTATGGTGTATTTACAGTTTAAGGATATGAACCCTTTGAAATTTTATAAATGTGTGGGTTTTGTTGAAGAAAGGGGAATAGCAAAGCAAAGATTAACAACACGGCAGTGTTCTTCATATTTGGTATAGGAGGACCCACGTACACATATCCTGTGCAACTCATTTATTCTAACCTTGACGACAGACTGATGAGATCTGCTGGGAGATGTTCCCCATTGGTCACTTTGACTACTTCCCCTACTGCCACCTACACATCCCAGTTTGAAAATGATTAGAACGGAAAAAATAAGTGATGGGGGAGAGGGGTGGGGGTGGGGGGAAAAAATCAAACAAAATAAAACCAACAAACGAACAAAGACAAAAAGACAGAGTTTGAAATTATTATACAAACAATACATGTTAATTAAAATGTCTGATGACAATTTTTTCAAAATCTATTTTAATCAGGCCAGAAAGAAAAGAGGTTGAATATTTTCATTTTTACTCGAGTGGACTGTTTTACTGTAAGGCACCAATTTTAAGCTGCAGAACTCACTGATATTATACAGTAAAAATAAACAGCTGTTATGCATATTTCTCAACTGACAAGGTTTCTAGCCACTCCACATATTAATTAAAAAAATTAAAAGCCACAACAAGATTTTCCACCAACTTTCTGAAAAGTCAGGTGACAAGAACCTTTTTTTATACAAACATGCTGAAAATCATTTTGGGCTTTGTTTCAGCTTTGTAAATTCCTATTTACACTGAACTGGCAAGAACCAAATGGAATTAAATCTCAGAAGTTTTGTGTCCTTCCACTGTAAGATATTATAGTGTCCTAAAATAATTAAGATCTCCTCATTCTCCAGAAACTGCTATTGCTGGTAAAAAGAAACAAATATTATTAGTTTGAATTAAAACCAGGTCCACAGGTTCACATTGCTTTTGAAACCTAAAATGTAATTGGGCATCAATAAACATCTGGAAAGCAAAACTGAGGAGACTGTCTTCCTGGAGAATGCATGGACGTGTGGAGAGGAGAGCACATGCTGGTGTGCAGGCAGAATTAATGTAATAGCGCAGGGTTCTCCACTGGAAGGAGGGCTGCAACAGGATCCTAGTAATATAACTAAGAATGAAGCTTTAGCTGGAAGAAATGCCTGAACTGGGCACAGAAAAGCAAATCACAGTTCAAAGATTCCTCTTGCAAACTGTATATTAGAAGAAAACCTGACAGGAAAATTCAAGGTGAGTAATGGTCACAGTTGGGACAGTGTGTTCTGGCCGGGCAGAAAAACGAGGTGAAACAAAGGGGCAACAGTCCTGACAAGTTCAGTAGCAGCTGACTATTATTTCAATTTATCAGCATGTGATACGGGATTCCTTCAGGGAGGACAAGGCTCAGAAAGAAGGTTTTGCAGGCAGTTGGTATCTGTGTGTGTGTAAACTACAACTGGAGAACACTCCGACACAAGTGTCCTCCAAATCCAAAAGGGTAAAACAGTGAAGGTAAAGACTCAAATTTAGGAGCTTACTCAGGAAGATTATAAAGAAGCATTATAAAGAAGTTGCTCTGAGCGGATGTAATCTGTTTTGCTTGCAAAACACTAGGGTTAGCATGACAGAAGCTATTATCAGGCCAGTAGAACCACTGGGTTTGCTGCATATGAGGATCTTGGTGGAGAAACACCAATAAAATTTATAAATGCTTCTTCAAGTGTGGAAGTACAAGGTTTATAGAGGATGCCCAAAACAAAAGCATCTGATATTATGACAAACATTAGTACTGAAGACTGACTCTGCAGAAAATTTACAGTATTATCTGGCAACTACTTTACAATTGATAATAATTTAATAGAAGTGTTTTCCAGCTACTCTTGATTGAGATATAATGGAACGTGAAATAAACAATGTACTAGTCTACACTACAGGCTATCACAGAAATGTGTAAGATCCTAACCTTATTAATTGTATGTATGAGTGGATTAATGAACTTCAGTGGGATTACAGAGTTCAACCTAGTCCATAATAATAGACAATACAATAATGCTTCTACTTGTGCCAGAAAAAAATACGGGAATTTAATTGTAAACATACAATAATACATCAAAATACAATTGATCATATTTCAACAATTTCATTTAAAAAAAAAATAAAATCTTAGAATATGTTGTCTATTGACCTGATCAAATAGATGTTGAAAAATGTGCATCCTCCACATAAGATGTGGATTTCTTAAATAAAATTGTCCAAGGAAATGATGATAAACAACCTCTGATTGTCCATGTAAAAACATTTATAGCAAGCAACGCTGTGACTCAAGCCTTGCTTTCAGTGCTAAAATTATTCATAATACATATATTAGGGAAGAAAGTGAATGTTCAGCTCAAAGACAGTGCTAATTTGACGGTTCACATCTCTTGCTCATTTTTTTCCCAATTCAGCTAATCAAAATGGTGACTATATCCATTAAAAACCATTTCTGTTCCCTGTAATGTATCTATTTAAATTCATTTGTAAGATGCAAGTTCTTAGGTACATATCAAAAAGCCAACCTGGTTAAATATGGCACCTGAGGTCCAATTTTCAGACAGAGAATCAGCCTTTTTTGTATTATATCCAACAACAAAATAACACAGTAAGTTTTTCTTAGGAGTAAATTTAATGCCAGTCTAATTTTAGAACTGTAATTGTCACTGTTTAAAGAAACACTGCCTGAAATGGTAAGTGCCCAAATGAGTAAAAGAATACACTTCAGAACAGCAGGATTTTTGTTTATTCCTTATTTCCTTGGAGCAATCACAAATAAATAAATAAATAAATGCAGGGTAGAGAAACCAGCCTCTACACTATAAGCATCAGTGGGCATCTCTACCTTGATGAGAGCAGTACAGTGTCAGCAGGTATATACTCTTTGCCTTTTATTATAACTATATCTCCAACATCTACCTGAAAGAAAACTGGGAATTGGTTAATGGTCTCAAACAAGGTATGTATCCCTTTGCTTTAAGCACAGAAAATATTTACCTGCTGAATTTGCTAGAAAGACTGTTAGAAACTCACTCACTTAGAGAAGCCTGTAAGTATTAGGTACTCAAAGGTTACCGGATTTTTTTGGAAATCTATTCTTTAATAGGTCTAATGCTGACCTCCTCTATGCAGTTCTTTATTTTTGGTAATTATGAAATATTTTAATGGAAGACTGACATTAAGTGAAAGAAATCAATCTCCTCTAAGATCACAGTTCTGTTGCATTATGCTATATACCTTATCCTTGCTTCTTGGTTGGTATAAGCCAATTTCACCTGAAACTTGCCGCCAAATTATTTTGGGTCAAATTTTGTTCAAGCTTTCAGGTATGGAAACCAATAAAACTGTAGGGCTAGATAGACAGCATAACATTGAGTCTTTGAAAGTTACCTTTAACAGTCTTTAAAGTTCCCAAGCTTTAAGCCAAATAAGTTCAGTAAACACACCAAGTAACTAGTTTCCAGAAAGAAGCTGGCACACCAAATAATACTAAGGATTTGTAAAATATTTCCATATGTAAATAGAATCACAGAATGGTTTAGGTTGGAAGGGACCTCAAAGATCATCTAGTTCCAACCCCCCTGCCATGGGCAGGCTGGATGGCTATTCCTGGCCTTACAGGATGGCTATTCCCAAGCTAATCATATCATTCAGGTTATTTTTCACTGAACTTAAAGCCTACCATTGAATGGCAGTTTTGCCTGACTCATGCCATCAAAACTGACTTGATTTAAAAGTACATTTATGAGAAAAGTATTAACAAACAAAAAATTAAGTACAAAAGATTATACATTTCCCATGACACCAGTTAATTCTTATAAATTACAATTACTTTGAGAATTGAAGCAAATATAAACTCTGCATTATGCTCTAAAAGTCATGAACATGAACACACACCTTTTCCCAGTGGACGATCTCCCATGCACCATTTCGTAGTACTGAAAAAAAGACAAAAGAAAGAATTTTCCAGCTGTACAATCTAACTGCAGTATACAGGTATGTGTTAGATTCCTTATGAACAGTCATACAGACACAGTTCATTTACACAATAGTGTACAGCAAGCCTTGTTTCTATAAGCATTTCAATTACACAGCACGTATTCTGTATAACAGTTTTTGTACCACAGAATCTTATTACGAGTCAGTCAGAACATTTTACAGGGTTTGAGAATCCATTAAATCTGATGCAGAGTGTATAATAATGTGGTGTTTTTAAAAATAAATTATTAATTGGAATAAAAAGTTCAAGTCAAAAAGTTATGAAATTATGTGTGTGTGCGTAAACATCAATTTAAGATTTTTTTCCTCAATTTCTATACTGATGAAGTTCATACAAAAAAAAAAAAAATTCATAAAGTCACCTTCAGGCTTCTTCGGATTCAGCTGTTCTTACTGGTGTTGGCATGTTAGGGAACTTTATTGACCATGGCAGTCATCTCCTCCATAAACATACTGGAAATCCCCTAGATCAACCCATGCCATTTAGCATAAGATTTAGAACAGATTGTCTCTGGCAGTAGCAATTAATATTGAAAGCACATTCCACTACTCCAGTTTTAAGTATTGCTACTATGATACAAAAAACCATGCCTTGTTTGCCAGTTAATTGCCAAGATCACATTTTAAGAGAATAAAGGTGACTTTTTTTTTTATTAGCCCCAGTTACAAAGCCATTGAAGATTGATGTGCAAAAAGAAAATTAAATGAAAATGTATTGCCATATATGAGATAACTCCAAGATATTGTTCTCTTTCACCGTGTGTCCCAGCTTTCAAACTGTCAGGATGTTTATATAAGTACTTGATCAGGACGCAATTCCTACGCAAGCACGTGTTGATTTCGAAAGAGTGGATCGAAATCTGGGAATACATATGACCTTTATGTGTAAGTCCTCCTTGAGGATCTGTCTAGACTGATCCCGCTTCTTGTATTTCTCAATGTGTGACTTGCTATCTAACCTGCTTAATAATTCTTTAGGAAGAGAGAAATTCTCCCACCCTTCCTTCCCCCATATGTATTAGTGCTGGTATGCGCAGGGCAATGTTAAACGTCTCCCTTTCTTAGAGTAAGAAGGATATTTTAATGACTTCTCATCAATCAGTTGATCATTTCACAGAATCTATTTTGACAGACCATGTCCCTTCACTGGGAAAACCACAGATCCAGAGTGAGAACCGGTTGTGAGTCCTATGGAACTCAAAGCATTTGACAACTGTGCCACCAACTATTTACTTCCACCACTTTGTGTCAGCAATACTGTTTGTGGGGTCATGGTATCAACCAGATGAAAAGAACTGATGAGGATTAAAAATACACCTCACAGCAGTCCAGATGACTGTTTCACAAATTGCTATAGCAGAATAACTGCCAGGGGAGTTCTGCAGGACTTAAATTTTAAGTAAGCTGCCAGAGGTGGACAGGGACTTTCTTAAGAAGTGCTGGCTGCAGCGCTGCCAAAATATATCCTAAGGCTGTTTCACATGGAGACCTGACACAGTGTGACCATTGCAAAGGGAAGGTCCTCTGCCTCACCCCATGCAACGGTGCGTCCCCTCGTTGCTTAATGCAAGCCACCTCTGGTGCTTAGTGGACCCTTTGATGAGCCAGTTTAACCCACTAAATGGAAGGAAACTGCCAACTTTCCTTTCTGGGTTTGTCTCCTGCTGGTTTAGCTGGGCAAAATCAGCTCACACATGGATGAGTCAAACTCCTGAAAACATGCTGAGACACCTGAAATCTCAAGAGTACTCTAACCCTAGCTTGATCCAATAAGCTTTTAAGCACAATTAACATACACTGACATTCAATTAAACCCATTTTCCTTTGAGAACAAAAAAAAGAAACGGTGTTGTTATGCACCTTTTATATAATGGTTAGAGAACTTGTGCCATAAAGTCTTCAGCAGCCTTGCTTTCACATTTACATCTCCCATTTTTCAGTCGTCTCTAACGACTAACTCTCAAAAGCATGCTCCATCTGCTCTACAGAAGACACTTCACCTCGCTGCAGAAATGCACATTTCATCATGTCAGTGACCTGCTGTATATGTATGCAGCCTGAGGGAACAAAAATCATCCCTAATGCAGCCTAACAAATCACAACCCTGTGCAAAAGGTTTTCTAATGGTGTGAGAATTCAGAAAGTTAATTACTTAAGTTTAACTCAGATACAGATGGCCTTTAAGGAACAGATGAAGAGAAACCCATACACAGAATCTATACACGTACATGTAATTTAACAATTTCTTATGTTTAGAAGACAACTAAAAGGTGGAGCTGGATATAAAATGTACTGTGCACATCACTACTCTTCAGCGTTACAGAACTGCATGAAAACCAAGAGAGTACCATACTCTAGCTTTTTAATTATTGCTTTGACAATAGACTGTATTTGACAATACATCTAAATATTTCTCTGACAGTACACTAGGATTGATGTTGCGCTATACTGCTTACCTAAAGGGTACATAAATCTTAAAAAGTTTACTTTTTAAAATTAGAGACATTTCCAGTGGTTAGCAGTGCTAAAAATTCTGATTGTCTTTAGTCAAAGACCCCTCCCCAAAAAACTTAAAGTTAGGTTTGGTATTTGTTTAAAAAGGATTCCATGTGAGATTCTCCTCTTTGTGGTATTTTCCATACTTTCTGCAATCAAACTCACATGACACTCATTCCTCCTCCTTTTTAGAAAAAAAAAGAGCAGTTCTATCAACTGAGGCCTCAGAGCAGGTCACATGAAGAGTTAAATAACAGCCAAGTGGGAACTTAAACGTCCTATCTGACAAGCATGTTCATAGAATCATAGAATCACAGAATAGTTGGAAGGGACCTTAAAGACCATCTAGTTCCCACCCCCCTGCCATGGGCAGGGACACCTTCCACTAGACCAGGTTGCTCAAAGCCTCATCCAGCCTGGCCTTGAACACTTCCAGGGATGGAGCATCCACAGCTTCTCTGGGCAACCTGTTCCAGTGCCTCACCAATGTTCAGGACATAGTAGCTAACATCTCCCTCACTTTGTGAGCTAAAATAATCCTTTGATTTAATACTACTTCTTTTCTTTACTAAAATCTTAAAAAAACCCAAATCATATTCCAAAGTTTTGGTTTAGTTTTATTATCTCTAATCAAACCCACACATTGATTTCGTATTAGAAAACCGAAACCACTACCGAAAACCTCCGTTCATCTTTATCCACAATTTTGAAGCAGCATAGAAAGATAGTTCCATTTCATGTCCTGCCAATTGCAGTTTTCCAAAATTCAATTATTCAGTATTTGCTGATTGAAACAGAGTAAGTTACCTGTGTACTTAGAAATTTATAGTTTTTTGCCATAATCTAGGCCAACTAAATATAGTGGCATTACCTGTGTTAAATGAACGAATGTTAAAGTTTCTTAGCAACCTCAAATTTAATCTAGAACATATTCTACTTTGCGGTTAATGTGACTGCAAACTGTTATTTCAACTGTTTAGATTCCAATTATTCAAGTGATCTGCATAAGCAATTTCCCACTCAATTAATTACCTGTCAGTAGTTCAGATAACATTACTACCATTTGTGAAAATTTCAAAACACAGCCCCTGAAAACACAACCCTCCAAACCACAATTTATTAGGCTTTAAAAAATTTCCTACCTTGAGTTTGTTTCTTGTTCACAGCATTATCAGCTTTATGCCTTTTCTAAATTAAAAATGCAGAGTGGTTAAAGACTTATGTTGATATGACAAAGCTTTCACACTTAAGATAAAACACACATGTATTACCCTCTCCCACTCATCAATTCAATAAACCAATTTCAAAAACATTTTAAGGAGGATTATGGATTAGTTGTATAGTTATGACCATCAGGAAAGTCATCCTCCCCCAAGATAGGCCATGATGTCTCTCAGTTTTAATACAGCTGCGAGAAACCTTTGCGAGAAACTACAGTATTTAGGAGTAGTGATCTCAGTTCTTCCTGAGCAGGATAATCATTTGGAAAATTAATTGAAGAGAATTAACTGTTGTAGTTGTAATTTCTTGACTAGAGCGACAGAATTCATACCTTTGAAATACAAAGAAAATCAGAAGCAATCTTGTAAATTTAGAGAAAACCAAGTCAAGCTACTTAGGAGATTTTTTTCTAAAACGTATTGATATGACTCTTAACTAGCAGCTCTTAAAAGGCCACCTTATCACTTTGAAAAGACTAAGTTAAGTTATTATGTTTTTACTAGATTTTCCACAGATTTGAGCAGATTCTCCTTTCAAAAAGATGTCTGACTTTACAGATAAATAACCTTTGATCACTGGGATAGCATAATATCCTGACCAATGCAGGTGTGTATTTGCCCGCAGGGAGAGAGTCTCCTCCAGCATGAAAAGTACCAGTTTAATGTCAGTTCCATTCTGAGCTATGATGGGTGAAAATCACTGGGAACAGCTGATAATCTAGCACTGCATGTCATAAATTTTGCTAGCACTTCTTAAGCATATACAGAAAACACATGCTGTTCATGAATCATGTCTTCTGCTAATATCATCTTCTGGGGATTTCAGTCCAGAAAAGGAAGCATTTGGTTCTTGAGCTAAAAGTATTATTTTGGTAAGTATATTCATTGATATTGATATATAAGGTTCCTATCCAAAAGCCAATTAATCTTGCTTTAATGTTAGATAACCCTTTCTGGAGATCTCAGATATCTCACTGTGTAAAGAAACTAACATATAATCAAAATCAAAGGTTAGGGGAAAACACACTGAATATTTTACTATGCAGCAAGCAGTCAGCTTTCCCAGGAAATAAAAGTACAGCTGTCAGAGTCAGCTAAATATTTATTCCTGCACAATATAACCAGCAGGCAACATAAAATTTCATACTATTTGACTACAAAACCAAATTGTTTTATTTGGACTATAGTCTGACACTCTGCTGCATTAGGGAGAAATTCATGAAGTTATATATCTCCTTTAGATTAGCACTAAATTGTCCCACTAAACTCCATCTCATTCAGTTTCAACTAAGTACAGCACTGAGACAATGCAAACTTAACAGAAAGAAAAATAGTATTTGAATTACCTTTAGGTAACTCTGTAGTATTTGGTAATGAGAACCTCATTGTTTTAGCTGATATAGGCAAAACCAGACCAAACTATACACTTCAAGTTGCAAAGAGCAAATGGTAGAAACAAATGACATAAAAGTGAGTGGATGAGAGAATTTTCAAAAGGACACTCTGTACAGTAGCTGCAGCCTCAGTTTCATATTTGCCTAGACACTGACAGATGGTGCAAGTCTGTAAGCATTAACAGTAGAATGGTTAAAAATATCTGAAAGAACATGAATTGATTTTATAGCTTTTTTAAAAGGGATCTTGTTTATGTAAAGAGAAAGCAACAACGACATTTAAGGAGAAGCTGACTACTGGGCATCAAATAAAAAGAAATGAAAAGTAGAACAAGAACATTCAACAGAAACATCATTGCCTCTTGCATGACCAGTCAACTCTATGGCCCAGGAGCTTCATAAAACCCAGGGGGACAACGTGCCGTGCCTACCATTCCATCAGAGGTAACTGAGGAGAAGACTGAGTTGACTGTATTGGCAGGAAAGGCAGCATGTGACCAGCCACCCTCCATTTCAGCTCACCACTCTTCCTCTTGATCATGTTTCTGCACATACATTGTAATTCTGCTCAAACATATTACATCTGATGCTCTCAGGAAGCCTACTATTTGTGTAAAGACTGTACTACCTGAAACCCTTTCAAAGAAATCAAGAGAACACAATTAAAAAAGACTCAGGAACACAACTCTAGTGAACATATTCTAACTTCTTGTCCTCCATATAACTTCTGCAGAACTAAATCAGAACAACGCCGGACGAAGAAATTCTTGGCATCTAGAGTGATTTGGTAAATCATCAAGACTAATTCCTTAGGTATAAACAACATGAAACAGAAGACTCAGCGATGTTATGCAAATTAGAGACAGGTTCCACCCTATGCTTTCAGTGAAGGGCAGGCAGGAAGGTACTCGGAAAACCCCAACATCTTTTGTATGACGTGAAACAGCCTGAAACTCCTTTCAAGACAGAACAACTCAGAATGGACATTTCCAAGTCACGACAATACCCCAGCTCTTTCAAAGTTTTCATTCAATGCAAGGGGAAAGCAAAACAGCCACTACCACAAGTTGACTGGAGGGAGCCAAAGAAAGCTTGGAGTGGGGTGGGGGGGGGTGCATCTGCCTAACAAAGACAAGCACTCCATCTGTGTTCCTGGCCATCGGGTGTCAGCACACCACACCTGGCACCAAGACATGAAAGACTGAAGTAAACTGCACTGGGCTGGAGCAAGGGGAAAATGGAAAAAAGGCCCTTGCTGTGCACAAAACTGTGCAAAGTCACAACAGTGAAACCAAGGATTTCATGCATGTGACTTTAGCAACAAAGAGATACATCAGATGCATGGACCTGGATTTGACAACTGGGGACACCTCATTTTTAAAACTTTAAAAATGGCGTATTGGTGACCTGTACTCATTCACATAAGATGCATTAAACCAAATAGATTACTATTTGAAACATACTAAAAGTGTTACATCATAATTAGAGTAGCAGGTTAAAAGATACTTTTTAGGAAGGTCCAAGAATTATTTGGTTGCGAATCAAAAATCCATCCAGTTTCAGGTATGGAGGACAACTGACAATGCTTGAGACTGTGCAGTCTCCTAGATCTTCAACCCTTGAGTTCCTGAGGGCTTATCTATTTTTTTTAAAGGCACCTCAAATAAAGATGTAAAAATAAAAAGGATACCTGGGAAGATTTTTTTTAATCCTACCTCCTTCACTGAGACTAAAGCCAGAAGTTCTCACATTTTTTCTGTAAAATGTTAGTCCAGTATGTCATTCACAGACTGAACTTAAATCCAGCTCACAAACATAACTCGTGACAGTAAAGAACCCTGCTGATGCAGGAAGAAAAAAAAAAAAAAGTTTTTCTAACCAAATAAATATCTAAAGGTTATTTGGTTTTAAAGTAGTTCCACCTGAGATGAATTCAGTAGCTTCCAGTGTTCTTTCAGCAGCGCCCTTGTTTGAGAAAAATGGCAATATTCTGGACCTGACTGGGTTCTGTGGAGTCTTTGGTTGTAGTATACACTTTAAAATACGCTTCATTAATGAGTACTGTTTGACTCAAAACAATCTATATAACAAACACAAGTCACTGTTTTACTGTGTACTATCAATTGTATATACAGTAAACACACTTTGAAATCATAACACTGTATTCTAAAGATTTCATCTTCTGAAGTAAGTAGCTGTAGAAGTTTTCAAAAGCATCCAGAAGGCAAGAATGGTTCAACACAGAAATATATTACAAAAATTCTGTTGAAAAATTTGAAAGCTATTTACAAAAATATTGTTATTCAATACTTACAATATCCTCTATGATCTCTTTCACTGCAGCTACAGCTAAAATAAATAATAGAGGGACCAATGTTGTGTAACGGCCTGTTGGTGATACATCTGGTATTTGCTATTAAAAAGAGAGAAAAAAATTGTTTGCATTGCTGGTTGAAAACATAGTTTTAATACAAGAAGCACTACTTTCTGTGCAAGTACACACAAGGCAACTGGATTAATTTTTAGACATGGTGCCGATTTGTTCCAAGAGAGGGTTATTGTCTTCAATTCAAAAGAAGCTGATACAATAAACCAGCTGCATTTTAAATAGCATAGAATTGAGTGGAGTTACTTTCAGAGGTGTTAGAATGTTACTCACCTTCCTCTTTGTGTTTCAAATTAAATTAAAATATCTATTTATAAAATACCATTAATTTTTTCAGTTTAGGTTTTTGTTACAGTGGACACACGTCCAAGGTATTTTTACTTGCTTACAGTAATCTCTAAGAGATATTTTGCATCACAGCAGTTTTTAACTGACAAATTTCAAATAGCTTCTTTCTGCCAGAGTATTGCAAGAAACCTGTTTTTGCTAAGCAGGTATGGGCACAGAGGGTACGAGTGAATGTGTATGTAAAGCAAATCCTGAAAAGATGCAGCTAGTTGTGTGATGTACATGGATAGTTATCTGTTAGTGTCTTTATATTAAGTAGAGTTCTTAATGGCAACATTGATAGGTGAGGATTGCCGCCTTAATAGACCTACACTAGGCAACGCAGCCTTTATGACTACAGTAAGATCTTTGCAAGAAAAGAGTATGCTAATAAGTGGTGTCTCAGTGTGGTTAGAAGACATCCTCTATTTATATTCATAAAACTCATATAATTCATAAATAACACTGACTAACATTTCTTTTTGCTACTATCACATACTGTGCTTCTAAACAAAAACAGGATGTTAAATGTACATATACTATGTTTCTTGGAGTAAGACCAATATAGATCTATTTTCCAGGTTACTCTAGACCACATTTTCCAAGCAATTAAATAGAAACCAGGCAGAAAAAACTACCGTTGGGCAAGTGTCTATTTGTTGGCTACAGTGGAAAGGGATCTATCCCTTCTCCACCTATACTTACCCTTTCGTTCCTCCTTACATGTATGCCCAAACTCCCCCATTCCAACTACACATTCTTTTCCCAGCAAAAGATGAAAGCAAAAGGGTGGCAGCCTGTACCATTTCCATTACCCCATATTTCTTCTGCCACTGTGGTCTCACTAATAGCCTGATAGGAGATGGTGGGCTTGTAAATCCTGACATCCCATTTCCTGACATCACACTTACTGACACCCCATAGATCTACCTGCCAGCTTCACACCCAGTCATGCTAAGCCTCAAAGAGCTTTTGAAAACCCATATTCTGTGTCTGCTACCTTGACACGCACAGTGGCAACACAAGAAATGCTGCGGGATCACTGGATTAGCCTGAGGTGTCAGATGGGGTCAAAAGGCTGTTTATTTAGAAGCCACAGGTTTGCAGGCTGGCAACCTAATGCAACCCCAACCTTGAGATTTTTTCTTTCCTCCCTAGAAAATAGTGTAAACTACCTGTGCAGACATGCCCTAAGAAACCGCTCCAAGCCCTTATAGCAGAAGCAAGGAAACCTCAGTAAGTACAGAGGAATCATGTTTCATGAGCTGAATGTATGTCAGTTACTTACACCATCTCCACAACAGACCAATCAACACATTCCAAAACATGCACTAGAAATTATGTAAAACCACGTTTTTATCTTCTCAGTTAGCTGGATCAGGGATACCCCTTTACAAACACAGTGAATGAAGCTACAGTGGCGGTATAGAAAAGACTGTGTGCTTTCTTCCTAACCAGCACAGTTAACCAGCTGTGATATGGGAAATAGCTGCTATAGTACTGACTCCACTGCTGTTTTTCTTCATCTAGGCTCAATTTCAATCCTTATCATCTTCACCCCAAGAATAATTAATCACTTCTCTTCAGTTGCAATTCTTGCCCCTCAAAACAGATTACAGCATTAACATTCATAAAGTTCCACTTTTTAGTCAGTACCCTCCACCACAAGAAATGCCAAAGACCAGTAACATTTTTCTGTGTATGCCAGATATTTTAAAACAGGATTTTCCTGTCACAACAGTCTTTTTCAACTGGCAGTATTTCAGCTATACTTAAACTGGTTTACAGAAAAATCTTTGTGTGTATTGTGTTACCTTCAAGAAGTAAAAAACCCCACAAAGTACGTCTACACAATACAGCTATTTGAGAAGCTAACTAGCTCAGAAAGAGTGGTACACCAACCTGAGTATCTCTGCAAAACATTGTCTATGGTATAAATGCTCTCTCAACGAGTTTCAAACGTTAGCATCTTATTGTTGATCTTACCTGGAGTAATGCGATAAAGAGAAAAAATGCATTAGCAGCTCTTCTGAACTGGGAATAAAGGAACCTTGGCAGGAATGTGATTATGTTGTACTTCGCAGTGCTGAGAACAAAAGAGACAGAAACATGCACTATTATTATGGTACAAAAAAATCTTCAAATCTATTCCTTCCCTCTCAGTTACACAAGCTTTCAAATAAAACAGAACCTTTTGCGATTTCTGTGCTAGCGAACACATTTGGTTTGGCTCAAAGAGAAGCTGAAAGATTTCCACAGAGAGAGTCCGCAGGCATCCATGAACTGGCTAACCCAGGGAAGTGCCTGCCGCCCACAGAAACCATCGCGAGCTTCCATGGGGAGGCAAGAAGTCCCCTCCTCACCTCTGCCTGCTCCCCAGGAAGCAGTCAAGCCCTGCTGCCACTCAGCTACAGACAACGAGCAGAGGTAAAAACACCCAGCAGAGAAGGCAGCAGCCAGGCAGCTGCACCACCCTTGAGGAAGCAGGTAGGGCAGGCCCCAGGCCTGTGGCTCTTGGGCCCAGAGGAGTATCCTATCCCGCAAGCCCTGGCATGCGCTTGGCAGGTAACGCTGCACAATGGCTCCAAGTTAGACAAAATTCTTGGGGAAAGAGGTAAAACAAGCGTAACGAGGAGGGTGCTAAACTAGGACTGAGGAGCTGTGGAGCTTCTGCGGTGGGTATGAGTTTGCACCATTCAATACAAAGAACAGGATCAAATGAATTGAAATGGTGTATTTAAGAAATAATTAAAACAATCAAAATCTCTTAAAAGATAAAACCGTATACCCTTCACTGAATGGGAAGTTCACGTTTTTATTTTAAACTGATAAATATTGGATATTAAGTGCCGTTTTGCAACGCTGGAAGAACAGAATACATTTTATCCCAGCGCAATAACCTCTGCTAGGACATCATCACAAAATGTTTGAGCTCTCATCTCTTTGTCAACCTTACTTTTAAGAACTGACTGCTACCATCCAAAGTCCTAAAACTGTAATCATGAAAATAATCATATCAAAAAACTTACAAACAGACTTGTAAAAATATTTTAACCCCTTTTTAAGTTAGTAATATTTACTTTGACTTTGCTTAAAAGTCAGTTTAAATGGGGAATGAAGGTATCCTGCAGAAAAGCTCCACACTGTCAAGAAACAAAGCAAGAGACAGAAATGACAAGTTGCATACACAAACAAAAAGCATTGTAAAGTTTCTCAAGTCTATGGAAAAACCTCTCCACATTACTCTCAATGTCTATGAAATTTCTAAATATTACCAAGGCACCTTCAGAAAACACACCTACTGGGGACATGGATATCTTTGCCATTTATTTATTTTGAATTTTAACAACAGAAATGAGGATGTTATCAGATCTAAACATACATTATTTATGTGTATTCAGTGTATTACTTAAAATTCAATAAACAAAAACCCCCACAATATAAACCATCAGCAGAGTCCTAAGGCCTGAACTTGAAATTCAAAACTAGTTTTATAAGCAACCACAGCACCTTTGTAGCTGGCTGACTGAATAAGACAAGAGTTTCCAAAGCACAAACAGTGCCATGCTCATACATCTGCACTGACATCCAGATAGCAGAAATACGGTCAAAGGTGATCTGAACTGAAAGCTGAAGAACAAATCCATACTCTAGGGACATGCTGATGGTGCAGCTGTAAAGCACCCGTACCTTCCCCACCCTGCTCTTAAAAATGCAGAAGGTCAGGTTTGTAATTGAAACAGCTCTGCTGCTCTCCTTATTTCACTTCATTCCCCCCTCCAGAGTCTGAGATAGTAACTAGTGGGGAGAGGAAATTACAGAAGTGGAATAAACAGAGTATCTTCTGAATTTTTGCTATGTAACATGCAACGTTCTGAAATTAAGTATTAACAAAATCACTAGTTTATACCTGACATGATTATTGCAGAATTTGGTTAGCTGGGGCTGATTGATGAATATAGTTCTCAGTTCCTCTTGATCAGCTAGGGAAGTTTTCTCTGAAACATCATCTGTCTTCTCATAGCCTGTAAAATCACAGCATGATTTTCAATACAAATAGATATATATATGTACATGCACAAAATTCAAGGCACTTCACGACAAAAAAAGACATCTGGTGTGAATGTGAACTCAACGCATTTGCACTTCTCACAAGTAATGATCATTTGAAAAACAAAGAGTATACAGTCAAGATGCTTTGTAAAGCTAGGACAATGCGTAATAACTGTAAAATCTACTGAGTTCATGAGTACACTTACACAGCTTGTGCTGTTTCATGGCAATATGAAATGAACTACTGTCTGTTGATGCACTGAACCCAGAGGTGAGCATTAGAAGAAAAAAGGAGAATAAACAAAACCCCCAAACACAACCCCCCCCGCCCCCCAGCCAATCTCATCCATTTATCCCAGCTGAGTCATCTTGAGTTAAAGATCTGCAAAATTCCAGAAATTACTTCCAGTAGTAAGTTAAATAAATATTTAAAAAGGAAGACACCAAGAAAAATATATTAACACTAACATAAGAAAGCAAGAAGTTCAAAGATATATCAGTAATACCAGTAATTCCAGGAAACATGTAACGAAATGTAAGTGGGGAGGTTTAGATTGGATGTCAGGAAGAAGTTCTTCCCGGAGAGGATGGTGAAGCACTGGAACAGGTTGCCCAGAGAAGCTGTGGATGCCCCATCCCTGGAAGTGTTCAAGGCCAGGCTGGATGAGGCTTGGAGCAACCTGGTCTAGTGGAAGGTGTCCCTGCCCATGGCAGGGGGGTTGGAACTAGATGGTCTTTAAGGTCCCTTCCAACCCAGACCATCCTATCATTCTATGTCACCTAGACACAGAAGGATCCAGTCCCCTGACAAGCACTGAAAACTTAGATTTCTATATTGTTTACAAATCATTCAACAGTTTTGACTTTTGCACGTAAAATTTAACATGGTCATTGCCAAATTTAAAGCAAAGTCCAGTATTTAAACAGACATTTACTATGAGGATATAGAGCAGTTGGAGTGAGTCCAGAGGAGGCCACGAAGATGCTCAGAGGGCTGGAGCCCCTCTGCTCTGGGGACAGGCTGAGAGAGTTGGGCTTGTTCAGCCTGGAGAAGAGAAGGCTCCGGGGAGACCTTATTGCAGCCTTCCAGTACCTGAAGGGGCTACAAGGAAGCTGGGGGGGACTTTTTACAAGGGCCTGTAGTGACAGGACAAGGGGGAATGGGGTTAAATTAAAAGCTGGAAGGTTTAGATTGGATATCAGGAAGAAGTTCTTCCTGGAGAGGGTGGTGAGGTACTGGAACAGGTTGCCCAGAGAAGCTGTGGATGCCCCATCCCTGGAAGTGTTCAAGGCCAGGCTGGATGAGGCTTTGAGCAACCTGGTCTAGTGGAAGGTGTCCCTGCCCATGGCAGGGGGGTTGGAACTATATGATCTTTAAGGTCCCTTCCAACCCAAACCGTTCTGTGATTGTATACAAACTTCATACAATTCATTCCATACTACTAAATCTATTTTCCTGCACCATATCTGCCAGATATACCCCTAACTCACTCTCCCCTTCCTGCTTCTTTTAAACCAGTGTTACACAGGCACACCTGTACTGTAACAATTTAGAGTTTGCAAAGGAAAACGAACAGGTAAATTCCTTATTAAAACTTTGTGAAAAATTAGTAAAACCATTAGTCTCAAATGTAGAAAAACAGTTCATCCAGAGGATACCTGAGCAATGAAACCAAATACGAAAAGCATGTGTCTAGAGTAGCTATCTTAAATCAAAGTGACTAATTTATTTGCACAAATCACCTGTTTTGAGAAATCCTCATAAAAAAATTAATTGTCACAGTTAAAGGTAAGCAAACACAGGAAAATAATGAAGATACCCTACAGTGAGATTGATTATATTCTTCCAGTTTGCAGGAACCCCACCCTGACCATGACCTTTCAAAGATAACCCAGAGTGGCCTAACAGTGAGACCTGCCAGCTCCCTCTGCACTCATGAATGCATCCAGATGCTATGAACTCATGAATTCCCAGTTTAAGTGTTCCCTGACCCTGTCTTCCTCTACTGAGGTAGTCACTGAGGGGATATCAGGATATTCTTCATTTTGCATGTGCTTAACTCGAAGTGTTATTATTAGACTTACAGACATTCCCAGCACCTGCCTCCACTATTCAGCGAAAGCTGAGCTTTGTGTATATTCTTTTACAAGCTATGAGGAATCTTGTGCCACCCTCCATCATGACTTTCATCTGTAAAAAGGGGATACCAAGGTATTCTGCTTTCTCAAGACTTGTCAGTAGTGTTTTGTCATCACTCAGCTATTACATTGACCAACAGGTCTAAGAAGTTTATTCAGGCTGGAGCTTGTAAAGTAAACACAGGTATGGCATGAATCAATCACCGAAAAGATACAGAATTACAACAACAATCTGTGTGCATAGCTACTTGTTAAATGAACACTGTTCATTTTGTATGCCAAATGAGAACGATACATAGGAAAAAACTGTCAGAATGCAACTGAATACATCACAATTTATATGCATGTCAAGGATAGTTAAGGCTGTACATGAAAACTTAAAGCTTATTTCTAGCACGTTCCATAAATTCTTACAAACAGGTTATGCAAAATCCAGGTCATTCTCCAGACCAATGGCCCACTACAGAGCCTCTTACCTCTTGGATCCAGAACATGCATTTCAGACACTACAGTGCAAAGTCCAGTCTCCAATGTGCAAAGGCTCTGCAGAAAGTTGTTAATTTCATGCCATTTGCCATTCAGAATTCATAGACTGTTATCACTGGGCAGGAAATCCCCACTGCTACATTCATCCTCTGCAATTCCTCTATTTCTTTCCTTCCCACTCCTCCAATGAAGGGCACACATCCAACACACTTCTACTCAAACCTCAGTATGTGTCTCAAGAAGACCCTTCAGAGGAAGGGGCAGCCAGCCCAACAGACTGGACCCACCCGAACAAGTGTCCACACATCACTCCCCAACTCAAGGAACCACACAGGCGCACGTGGCAGACTAAGCATGCCGTGTCCTATTCCGGTCATTAGATCTCCTTGGAGTGACGACCATGGTACGCTACGCACGGCCTCCAGAACACAATTCCATGAACACAGATCCCCATCGGACAACTGGATATAGGTACATCTTTTAGAAGACCAGATTTTCATTCAAGCCATAGCTGTTCATCCAATCACGTTTATACCTGACTGAGCCCAAATCCATCACGTGGCGAGTGCACCTTCACTGTGGGTATCGGACATTTACTTTTCAGTTGCTCGATGAAGGAGCAAACACAAAACATGGCTGTTGTGAGAGCACTTTGGTGGAAAAGTCGGAAACCATTGTAACAAAAGGACCAACCCACCCTGACTAAGTTCAGGAAATAAGGCAAGAGCTTGCTTGTTTGTGGAATGTACTACTGTCAGTTATAAGCCTTGAACACTGAAAGTAATAGGGTTAAAGCAGATGTTAGAAGGCACTAAACATTACGTATTACCTGTTTGTGAAAAAGCCTGCCAAAGCATAGACATTTATTTTCATATATCAGTATTAAGGTATTTATTTGTTCTCCTTTAATCAAAAGGACAGCAAAAAGGTGCTGAGGAGCTTCATAAACATTCACCACCTCACTTCCTACCACCTTGAATTCACTTTCTTTCAATTTTCACTTAAAAAGGAATCCTAGGAGTTAAGTTCTGAGCCCCACATGTAGTCCTCTGTAATCTGCAGCTTCAGTAAACCAGCTCTGTGGCCCTAGGTGCATTATACTACCCTGAAAACTTTACAGGTTACACCTGTCCGATCACCTCCCTGTCTAAACTTCAGAATTCGCTCAGCAGAGTACAGACTAGGCTGATGCACACAAACAGGGAAGAAAAATTTTATCTCCTTGATGCTGAGCTTTGTGTATTTGTCTATGTGCGTATACACATACATAAAAACTATCTAAAAGCTCATGCATTACTGAAGTTATGATGTTTTCTAAAACAGTAAATACACTTAATTTAAATGACTAAAATGTTTTAAATGTTTTTCAAGCAACAAGATATAAACTACTCATTGAAATTCTCTGCTTTTATGTAAGATTATCAGAAAAAGAGTGAAAAAAAAATGGTCTCAGATTTTAATATAGAGCTTGTACATCCTACCCTACTGTTATGCTATTTCTTTAAATATCCATATACCACCCTTTGTAACACCACCACTACATATGACTTGCATTACCTACCCAAGCACTTCAGTCAAGAGTCAGCACACCTGACTTTCAGCTCCTCTGCAGCTATGCATCTATCCCAGTTAGCTAACAGATGCCCAATACTTGGCCAGAAACTGGGTACACTCTTCTTGCCAGGTCACTGCTGATTTTCAGAACTGTCTGAGGTCAAAGAAAATTCCTTGCTGCACAGCTGCAAGGCAAGCCAAAGCTTGGGCACTGCTTCTGGGCTCTCTGCATGCCAAATGTCTTCAAGGCACACTATACCACCCTGGCCTGTGTGCTGGGCAGACCCATCCTACAACAGTTTTGTGTTTTGTTTTTAAAGTCTATGTATTGTGGTTTGTTAGTGGTATTTTCCACTAATTTGTCAGATACAGGATCCTACATTCATCGGTATCACTTTGAGTGTGACTGGGAGTTTCCCCACATGATGCATTCACTAGAACTGCAACTAGAAATTAGCTATCACATTCCCAGGGTTTGTTTGTATCCCGCATCTTGAGAAAACTATCATAAAGCATTTGCAATTTCTGCCATGTCTCGCCCACATTCATCTAGCACAAACAGATTAAATCACCAAAAGCTTTATTTAATTATAGCCATATTTTCAAATACAACCCGCAAGCAAATCTTCAATATGTTTTATTTATTTAAGGTGAGTAAAGAATTTGACAACAACTGGTTGGTACTCAAATGGCTCAAAATAATGCCAGGAACTAAAATTTAAAAGTGCTGTTCTTTTCAACAGAAAAGGGATAATCATAAAGGGGTACACTTTTCAACAAGGAAGAATGTTACACGCCATGGTAGCTCATGCATTTATTTGACACGCCTACCAATCTGCAGCCAAGAGGGCAGAAATTAAGGCCACAGATTTGTGCTACTATTAGAGTGACTGATGGAATCCAACACCTTACAGGAAATCATGTCTAAGATGCGTACCATTTCAGCTATTCGCTTGCAAATATGAAGGAGGACATTTATCAAACGACACTAACAAACCAGAGCCTAACTGCATTATGTCACCCCTCCCATTTTTAAGATCTACCTTTCCAAGAGATTTTAAAAACGCAAACTTTAAGCTTGAGCTTAACTGCTGACTAACCTAAGGATAGTTCTCACATTTCAGTGCAGCACATCTACATAAATGCTCAGCACTTTGCAAAAAAGAAGCTACTAAGTGCTGTATTTTTTCCTCCAGAAGTGAGAATCCACTGGCACAAACTCAATTTGTGCAAACTCAGCCTATTAATCATGTAAGTAGAGGCTGGCCTGTCATAAACTGTTGTTTACAAGTAACCGCAGAAACAAGTAAAAGCATACCATACGTAGGAATGGAAGGGAAATTTCTCCAGATCATCTCTTAGTGAAAGGTAGTGACATCTTTGATAAATGCATCCTTTTCAAACAGACCTTTATTACACTGCAAGAATTTAAGAGTTGGTTGCCCTTCTGCAATCCATTAAAAGTTTCCAAACAATAGACGCGTGTGGACCCAAAAATTCAGAAAGTTGACGAAGAAAATAAAAAAACCTGAAGTACAGAATCCAGAAATGAAGAATAATAAACCAAAAACATATTCATAGACATCAGCAAAGCATCAGCCATTCTGAAATTCCAATTATGAAAAATCAGTGTGAAGAATATAAGTAAGACCTTAAGATGAAGCAATTAATTCTAATCTTTAAAAAAAACCAACCAAACAAACAATAAAAGAGTAGTTACTGCTGTGTTACAGGTATTAAAGTCATATTCACCTAACTAGCTTCTGGTTTATTCACTGCACTAAGGTATCAAAAAACTCCCATTTTTCCATGGCTTAAAATTAAAAGTTGCATTGGTCTTTTTGGCCTAAAGGCCACAACAATTTAAGATCATAGCAAATTCTGAAGTACCTCGTCCTAATAATTCTGAAGTCCTATATTTAGCAAGAGTAAACCAGCAATTACCACATTTCAGACAGGAACTATGATGCTGTAATAGTAAGACCTGCCATTCAGAAAGAAGAACAAAATACTGTGTACAGCCATTCTCGTTTACGCAACAGCTTTGTAAATGAACTTTTGGATTAGGGTAATAGTTGTACTCCTTTGATACTTAAGTACTTTTTTTTGACCCTCTAGGGACATAAAATAACAAAATAATAAAAATATTTTATCAGAAAGTATGATTCTGAATATTAAGAGAAAATTAGTTTTGAAACTTGCCATTTCTCCATTATAAATTGTCAGAATAGTATGACTTGTGCCATTTCCTATGAAACTTTTTAAAGTGCTGATTTAAAACTTTTTTCAAGTCAGATGCTTTTCTGTCAGCGGGGTCATGTAAGAATGTATGTCAAAGAATCTGTTTGATAATTCAGCTGTGGTTAAATATCAGCAATGTTGCAAGCCTCAGTAGAGGAAAAAGAGTCTTGGAATATTTTTATTTTATTTGCAACAGTATTTTGTTCTGCAATCTGAAAGTTATCTGCTAGTGAAACACAGAATATGGAAATCATTGATGGATAAGCACAAAACACCTCAAATTCCCCGCAAAGTCACCTAATAAGTGACTGAGGTTTTGGTTCAGGATTTCCCTTAATCTGCTGAAAATTAAAGAATGGAAGTAAATTATCTTGAAGAGTGGGAAAGGTAAAAAAAAAAATTAAAACAGAACTGCTGTGATTTCTGAGAATATGGGGACTGTGTAGTTACTTCCCAGGGTACAAGCTGTCCCGGGGCGGGGGGTGGGGGGAAGTAAAATGCCTATTTTGCTTAAAGTTTTGCATAACATCTTCAACAGCGAAGCCCAAATAAATAAATAATGAAACAAACAAGCAAATAAAAAAGCCCCCGAACAACCAACTTGAGCTTCCCCCAACAAGAGAACCCACTGAAGACGATGTTTTGCTTCCAAGAATAAATTCAGAAGCAGCAACTCTGCTCCAACACACAATATTTGCAGGCATTATTCCTAAACCAGTTTTGATAACAAAGTCTCTAGATTACTAAAACAACAACAGTAAATTCTAAAAAGTAAACACTGTCCAAATATTTTCCAAGTTTTCTTATAGGTAGGTGGTTTAACGGTTTCAGGTTTCATCCCTTAAAAGTCTCATGTTCATTACAAGAAATGGACAAAGGTAAATACAGATTGTAACATGGAAAAAAACCTCTCACTCAAATCACCAGAAGGATTTAAATTTGTTTCCCTTAATCATTAAAAAGTTCATTTTACTCTTAACGTACAGCACTGAAAAGCTTTGACAGCTGGTGCTGTAGCCAAGAACCTCTCACATGAGTAAATCTGCTAGCTCATATTCCTGAAGAACGCAGCACAGTTCAAGGAGGCTATCATTACAAAGAAGGTGCCTTCAGAGTTATTTGTCATAAAGGCACGACAGAGCTCTGGTACAGGATGGGCACTGGGAACCTGACCCATCAGTTGGTCCTTCTGAGGAGTCAGAGCACGGAAGGGAACC